TAAGAAAAAAATTAAATATTTTGATAAGGCTGGAGCCATGTATGTCACATCTGCTAACATATATGATGTAAAATAAGATGATGTAGACTGGAGGTGTATGAAATGCCTTTTTAACTGTTAATCAGGGCCACTTCCTGAGAGGTGAGCAGCTGCCTTCTGTATATTCTAAGCAACTTCTCTGATCAGAATCTGTTGTCATGTCTCCTGGTTATTTAATGCATATAAGTTATGTCATAAGTGTCATTTAAAGAGTTTTTCCTGAGTGATCTCTTTTCAGGAAAAGATCCAGAGAGATAGAGCATCAGGGTGCAGACACAGAGCCTATCTTTAACAGTGACATTGGAATTTTGAAATAACTGAATGAAAGATAAAATTCCCAGCTCATTGTTAAATATATTTCATTATAAAAATATATATATATATATATTTAAATTCCAAACCAGAAGCTGCAATCAGAGGCATATTTAGCTCAGTGCTTAGCAGTAAAAAAAAACTTATCATCCTAATTTCATAAATATGATTACAGACACTCAAAATAAGAATCTTAACACTAATTCATCCATTATATTATAGAAATATAAGCTACTGTAAGTCATTTAAAAAATAAGCATCAATGGTAACGTCCATTACTGGGAGAAAATAATTGATTGGATAATTGATTAGATAATTTTATATTAATTATATTAAATATTGAGCAGAAGCTGTTACTTGGAAACAGTTTTTTTTTCATAACTTTATTGCCACATCGAATATCAACTTATTTAATCAAGTAGATGTTTTATCACTCAATTTTTTACTTTTTTTTTTGAGAAAATTGAAAACCAAAAGATTTTACTAATTATGTTTTAAAAACTTCAGCCTCTAGATGGCGCTCGCATACTTTCCTTGTTGTTGTATCACCTCATTCTAACCAGAGGCCTGTCCACGAAGCAGGATTTTAGGTCAGGCTCCACCCAGCAGCCAATCAGCTGTTAGGAAACAATGACGTACCCTTTGATTGAAGACCTGGTTTAATTCAGAGGGAAAAAGAACTTAAAACATCAAAATATATTCATACATATATAACTATAGAATCTGAACCGGGCTTAGACTGCTTTGATCCAGTTGAGCTTTCAGAATTAGCAAAACTATTGTCTTCAACTTGTATGTTAGATCCAGTTC